GGGAACCCTTTGTTGCTGTTGTTTAAAATGTTGCATTCCCATGCTTGTGCACACTTTAGACTGACAGGTCAAAGTAGGTGTACCACGCTTCAGCATTGTACGGAGCACTCACACTAGTCAAACAAACCCGTCTTTGGGGGTCAAACGTGCTTCGGCACAGTACGGATTGCCTACTGTGAGTGAGCCCTTACATGCAGATAGAAAAAGTCGATTTATTGCATTAGTCTGACTTAAACTAGGCTTTCAAAAGCATGTAAACATGTTTGTCTGAAGATCATACTGAAATTGTACCAAGTTGAATTACTTGAGGTCAGACTTACACCCACCTACATAAGGCGGTTGGGAATCAATTTACTCTTGCAATGGATACGTCTCAATCAGACTGTGCAAGCTCCCCAGTTCCCATGCGAGACCTTGACCCTGGAGTCAAAAAGCATAAAAGCGTAGCATAGCAGAAGTTGCATTGTCATCTGCCTTCGTATATCACTATAAGCTAGAGGGATAGTGCCCATCGCATTTGGACAAAAAAAGTAAGCAAATGTAAAGGTACTGAATATAAATGTCATGAAGGCATGTAAAGTAACAAAGGTGTAACATAAATGCAAAAGAATCACTTAAAAATCTTAGAATGGACAGGACATAACAGCAAAATGTTGGGAAGAGAAAGTCGGGGGTGACATGGAGCAAAGGACCGGGGTCGGATTCGAACCCCCGGTCGCTGCTACAAGGACTTTAGCATGGGGCAAGCGTCATAACCAGAAGGCTACCGGCACCACCAGTTTTTTAACTACTGTAGGTTCAATATGAAAGTACAAAGGCGTAGAACAGTGAAACTTAGTTAGCATGCTGCAAGTCCTTTACAAATTGCGATTCAACAGAAGCAGCATTGTTTTGATCCAGGTAGTCAAATAAGAGTCCCCTTAAAATCATATTTCTCAAATTAGCCAGTTAATATTTTGCTTCTGGCTTTTGTAGCATTTGGCACGTTACCCTTAGTTTACAGGGAACCCATGTCTGTAAAGCAGACTGTATAACACACACACACAAAGACACTATGGTTCACATCTGAATGGATAATTCAGAAGTGATATTCTGCAGCCATCTGTGAAAGCCTAAATAGTAACAGAAAGCAATGTGTTCTGCTCACATGGATATGAATCAGAATCCAGAGAAGCTTCAACATGACTTAATAGCAGACCTAGAGAGGCGAAGAAAGAGAGGGGCGGGGGGCGGGGGGAGGGATAAAAGAGCTGTGACCATCCACTCTATCCCCACTGGCCTATCAGCTCCATCAACCTGGCACTGCCAAGGAAATACAGTTCATTATCATTGATCACACTCAACTCCACACTCACGCTATAAAAGAAGTTACACGCTCTCTCTACAAAACAGAACCCAAAAGAGATCCCCAAAACTGATGTCTGTAGCAGCTGTAGCGGAATAAAATTACCCAAAACAGCTTTCATGTCCAAATATTTACTGCGTTTTGATATATTATCTCTAGTGGGAACAGCCAATGCAGAACCCGATTATACAGTAGAGGGAACTCAAACACCCAGGTCTGCTGGCCTGATCCAACGTTTTATCACCAGGCAATTTGCCCCAGCTGCAATAATTATTCTTAATTGCAGCTATTTGGTGCATGAATGTCAACGCTACGGGTGAGGACCTTGTGCGTTAAGCATGTGTACATCAGTGAGGTGAGAGAGACTGTAATTTGATAGACATCGAAAATCACTAAGCTCATAAATATTCAACAAGGCATCTGAATGTTAGTGCTTCCATAAAGCAAATGAGTAAATGAAAAAATCCCAGCCTAAATCCTTAGTAATGTGTGGGAGATGACGTGAAGCCTGCCAAGGGATAATGTCATGCCTTTAGAGATAACGCTCCTCAGGAGGAGGCGCTCTTTTTCTGCACTCAAACTTTCTTGGAAGCACTTTGGTTGAACCCAGTCTTCTCCTGTGAAGCCCGCACTACAAAGTTAGTATTTCTGTTGCTATGTCATCAAAAGAGTAGAGGAAAAGTGGGCAGTGTGATGCAAGACATTACACACACACACACACACACAACACACTTCTGGGTAGTCTGACTGTAGCTTTAGAGGGGGAAGAGGAGGCAAAACTTGCAGATCTCAGCTGCCTCTGTGAGTCACTTATCTATAAGAGCACTTTGTTCTACATGAGAACAAATGAAGCCATTCACTCTGACAACATGGACAGATTTTTCTTCTCATGACTAGTGATCAAATGAAACTCCTACGAGCTCTTTCCTCCATTTCTCTCATCTTGCCGTCTGTCCTCCCCTCACATAAAGGCTGCGATCTTAACTCAACACAAGACACTACTTCTAACCAATAACTCACAGTTCAGAGGGCGCAGCTGTGTTTGTGGGTGTGTCCGAGCATGAAACAGCGTCCGCGTCTCGTGAGGTTGCATCCCCTCGGTTCTCAATGCGCAGTTATGGCTCCGGCATCTTCAGGGTCAACGTTCAGTTCCGCGCTCATTACCCCTTCTCCACTGTGATTATCTGCGTGTCTCCCCGTCCGCCCTCGCCCTGAAAACCACCGTGACCAACAAAGAGGCCTCCTCCATCAATCACGCAGTGTCCACCGCCGCGCATTAACCGTCGACTCTATTCAGCGCGACGTCCCTCCTCGTGGCCAGTCACTGACGCTCGCAATATGTCTGACAATATCCCACCGATCCACACACTTCCACGCCGGGGTCAACTTTGGGTCAACACCTCAAACAACCAACCCGTAGAGACACGAACGAGCTTGCCTGTGTCTAGGAGTACAAACAAATCATTAGACAGACAGGGCTCCCTGCCAATGCTCGCCATCGCCATTCTCTGGGGCTGATCGGGGGTTCTGACAACGATCCAGCCTCTCTGTCTGGAATGGTTAGTCTGCTGAGGGAAAGAGGGAACCAAGGCGTTCCGATCAATACATCCTCATTATCTGTTGCCTTCTGTCCCAGAGAGATGAGTCCCTACGCTCGGCCTGTTGATGAGGAAAGCGCACCACAATTCAATTAGGGGATGGCCGAGATGCCAAAAGAGGTTTGATCAAAGCACTCTGCCGGGCTAATTAGCACACACGATGGTTCACAGGGGTTATATTTTTTTACATCAGAGGAGCAGGGTAGGTTGTTTTGTTAATGGTAGTTTTACCCCGTAATGGACTGGGAATAACCTGGCTCATTGTCAATGCATAGGTTTTAGCCAGGAGGGGACCGGGGGCCCCTTGTGTTGCTCCACACATTGGCACAATGTAAATTCACGTGTGCGTTCACACACGCCTACCACCGGATGACCTTCAGAAAAGGTTACACAGAGTTTAATGGGACCCCTCTTTGCAGGTTAAAGTCGTCAGAAGTGTGCAGGTGTGTATGGCTGCAGACAGGAAGTGTCAGGTCCTCCAGAAATAGTGCTGGGGGGGGGGGGGGGGGGGATAAAGCTGTTTCCAGGAGTCTCTTCAGGGACTTTTTTAGGTAGCCCCACTGACAGCTTTATAAACCTCTTAACAAATGGCCGACCTCCTCCTCCTCTCTAATGAGGTAAAGAAGTCCGAAAACTGCAAAGGGAAAACAGCTGTGTCCCTAAAGGTGCGAGTTCATAACCATTTGTGTGTCTGTCGAGAACAAAGACCCAATTTCATTTTGAACCTATATTAGCAATTTCCTATACTTTAAAGCATAAACTTCAGATTCTGTGAAACTACCTCAACAGAAGGAAGAAACCTGTAGCTCTGAGCAAACTCCAAAAGGGGTCTAAAAGTAGGCTACATATTAAATAAAAAGGGTTGAGTGTTAATTGTTAAGAGTTAACTTGCATTCTTTTCTACCAGAGTTATGACCGTTTTATGCTTTTCTTTTTGTTCCACGTTTCTTTGTGCATGCATGATACAATCTATCAAAACTTTCCCATTTCACTCTTTGTCTGGGAAAGAGTTTATTACTCCCTTAGCTGTTAAAAGTGACATTTACTCGAGGGCGTTCGGTGTGAGCAAGCTTGGTTTTAATGCAGCCATAAATAACCGAGTCACACCCTGTCAAGTAAACTCCACTCAGGGATAGTGGCAAAGGCAAGCTCGTCTGCATCATCTGAGACTGAGCGGATACCATCTGTAAAATGTCAAGTTTACCTATCAGAGGCTGAAACGCTTCAACAAGCTATAATAAGCTGCTGCGAAAGCTGTGATTTGTGGATGAAAGCATCCCAAAATGGAACCTCTTCATCTGTATGAAGTTATTTATCATGTATTGTGCTGACAAATCAGATACGAAATGTCCATATCAGAAGGCATTTAATATTACAAGGCACCGGCGATACTTGATAATAATTCAGAGGCAGAGAAGGGCTTTGAAAAAGAGCAGCAAGAACATTCATTAAGGTGTTATTTTAAACTCTGTTTTTAAGTACACATTAAATGCACAATTTCAATATTCAAAAGAGCAAATCCACTTATTTGTTCATGCACTTTAATCATGCATCACACACAGCATATTTAGCCCCATTTGCCCATCATTGTGCCACTACTTGAGGCGTTAGTGCTTGAAAGAGCTGACTTCCTAACCCCAACAGTGCCATATGTTTCCTGTCACAACAGAGCATTTCCTCACTGCTCAGGAATAGAAATGAACAACACTTACAGGCTACTTAAAAATATTCACAAGCTGGGAATTATATAATTCATGGGTCACGATTTAATAAAACATTTGCTGCAAATATCAACCAGCGAGAGTGGGAGAAATAAGAAAACATGAAGACATGTTTGCAGTGTGCCAATAGTGGATCTACCTACTCACAGTAAGAACTTTGTTAACGTAGCCAACACATACTGTATGTCAACACTTTCACTGTGATAACCAGCCTTGTGACTCAAAGTTTGCATTTCCCGGGTAGGAAACACCATTCGAGAAATATATCGACAACACTTAAAACTTAACAACAAGTATATATATATATAAATAAATAAAAAATGTGGCTCAACTCACCAGCTGTAAAGTGCAAATAAAGATGAGAGTGCATCGTCCGCTGCAGCAGCCCATTGTGTCAGAGGCAAAAACGTGACTCTGCGCCGGGAGAAAAGGACTTGTAAATAGGCTAGAAGAGCTCTAAAACGCGCCGACCAGACTTCAGTCCTAATCCAAAAACCGGCGTCTCATTCTTCTCTCTTGCTCCTTTTCTCTTCTATGCAGAGCCACACAACAACAAAAAAACACGCGGCGTGGAGTGGTAGCCCCTGGCTGCTCTCTGTGTGACTCCGCTGCAGCCGGCTGATGTGGTAGCACTTGAAGGGGACTGACCGGGGTGGTTAGTTGGGTGGTTGGTTGGTTGCGAGCCGGTGTGTAAAAGAGAGAAGAGGGGGTGGGGGGAGGGCTGATAGGTGGTGGGGCAGTCTGAGGGGATGGGTGGTGGCTAACTGAGGGCGTGAACTGGTTTTTTTTTTTTAGGAAGCTGTTTTTTTTTTGTGGTGGAGCAGCCGAAAAAGTGTGTAAGGGGTAAAAACAATTTGTTGTCATAATTAGCGGTACCTATTCTAGACCTGAAATACATCTCAACTCAATCAATATTTACGCTTTAGGAGCATTAACAGCGACAGATGAAACGAACATGTATTTGGTTAATTGGTTAATTTTAGGACTGCATGGTGTGGTGAGATGTTAAATGTTAAAACAAAAGTCAGCACATCATTTTTTGGGATTCTGAGCACATGCCTAGGCTACATGAGGGCCACCGGGGGTAGGGTTACAGAGGTGGAGTGGTGCCGTTCATGTTGACCCACTGATGGAGAAAAGGCGCCATCTTGTGACTAAATGACGATGCACAAGGAAGGTAAAAAAAAAAAAAAAAGAGTGTAGGCTACTTTATAAAAAATTGCACATCTAAACCAAAAAAATAGGCTAACCTAGGACTACTTGTTTTCACTATTTTCGTTATTCTCTCACATGACGAGGCTGGGTTTTTAGGGGGAATTGGAGTTTAACAAAAAAATGTAGGCCAACAGAACTTAGTCCCAATGAGGCACTTTTCCCACTTTAAGTATCCTAATAGTTTCAAACTTTGTATGGCGACTTTCTCTAGGTTACATAAAGTCCTAACTCCCATTTTATCTACCCTAGGCCTGTCTTTCAACCATCCCACCCCTCCCCTCCCCTACCTCCTTTTCTCCACAGGCCTTTTGTTTAGATCTGCATTTTGCCTTCTGGGAAGCTACTGCTTGATATAATTTATAATAGAAAGGATCTGAAAAGCAACTCTCAGTCAGCCTCCTCCTCCTCCTCCCTCTCTCGGTCCCACCTCTCTCCTCCACCAGCTTGATGAATCTTTTACGCGTCTGCGGGCTGAGTGAGGGAACACTTCACATCTCATTTCATCACACACTCTCCTCCTCCGCCCTGCTTCTTTAAAGTTCCTCTCTTCTTCTCCTCTTCTCCTCTTCTCTCTCTCTCTCTCTCTGATTCTTCGCCGTCCCACGCCGCCCAGCCCACCTGCATCCAGCCCCGGGCCAAGGTGGAGCTCCTCCCCCACCGCCAAAATAACCTTAGGGTATTTATGGAGGCGAGCTTGAAGGCACGAATTGAGTTTTTTTCTCTCCAACAAATAAAAAACGTCTTTTTCGTCATTTAAAAAAAACAAACCAACATCGTTATCAATTCACAGCAGCTCCTGCATCACACATAGCCTTATCTCCCATCCACCTGTTTTTAGGTTTAACTCTGCTGATGGTAGACTGTAAGTAGCCCATTAGTTTGATTTGAATCATATTCTATTCTTGTCTCAGACTGTGTTGAATTTAAAGCTAAAACTCAAGTGTGCTTTCTGACACAGTGCTTTCTAATGTTGCTGTATTTGACGAAACAATCCTCTCTCAAAGTCCACATACTGGCTTTTCCTGAAGTTGTAACCTTATCACATCATCTTCATCAGCAGCAATATGCTCAGTTGTCTCAAGGTCAACTTGCTACCTGTGAACGACAAAGACGAGACGTTTTTTTTTTTTTTTTAAATGCAATGGATGAAGTCATAAAACTACTGAGCTTGCATGCCAAAAATGATGACGAAGACTGTGTAATGTGGTTAAAAGCTCCAGGAATAGCTCCTAAGTGGACCTTGAATTGTTGTCAGTAGAATTATGTTTTTATGGCTACAGTATGACATCAGATGGAAAAGATGTTGATGCTTTGTCATCGTTCATACACATTAAACAGCAATTTCAGGCTTGCATATTTGCTATTCTTTGAACATTTTTGACTGTTGTTCATATAAATTAAAGAAGTGTGGGTTCTAAAAAGCTTGGCACCCTGAGTGAGAAACGAGTGAGCGGTCAGGGGTGTTAAATGTTATTATGTAGGAACAATTTTGTGTGTGTGTGTGTGTGTGTGTGTGTGTGCAGTCAGTGGCATTAACAAATGTGTTCATAATGTCTGTCATGTTTTACAGTTACACATCAGGGTAAGTGCAAGGGACTATAGTAGAATACATTACTGTCGTGCCCTTCTTCCATGCATGATTTTCGCCCATTCACCACTGCATTTCTTATGAGAACATACTTTCTGAATGTGTGCCACAGAAATGTGTGTGTGCATGTGTGTTGGATATGGTAGTGGGTGAGACAGAAAGAGGAGAAGCAAGGCTAAAACAGGGTCACTGTTCTATTAGAGGCTTTTATGGAGGTTCTCCTTGTGTTCCCTTTTTGCCCATTTTAACCAACACCTTCTTATCGACTCACTCTGTGGTGTGTGTGTGTGTGTGTGCATTTGTGTGTTTGTGTCTTGAAAGTTTCTTTCATGACAAGTGTGTCCGAGCCCTCAGGGGCTGCTGTTCTCCACCAGGACACTAATGTGAAGTGACAGGACAGCCAGTGGTGCGCTGCTCTGAGAGGACCTGCTTTGTGGAGGAGACCCGAGAGTCTGGCTCACAGTGGACAACAATAGCAAAAAGACTCAAAAGGACAAGGCCTTTTTTTCTCATTGAAAGCATCTCAGGCTTTGGCCTATGCTTCCCTGCTCCCTCTTTTCTTTCCCTGTTACTTTGTCACAAATTGTTGTGCTCAAACATACAGAGCTAAACATATTTGTATCCTTATTTAAACTCACAACATCCTAAAATATTTGATTTCACTGACTGGTGGTGGTAAAATAGAAGGTTTTTTTTGTTTGTTTTTTTTTACTAAAAGATTCCATTATTCAGTCTGAAATACCTCATGTCACCCGGGGAGAAACTGAATAACGGGACCACCTTTTAATATTTTTGCATTAATGAAACCACCACATGCTGCACTACATCATAATACATCATAACCAGACTAACCTTAAATCAGCAAAGTAAGCAGCAGTCTTTCACTCTATGACATTTATCAACACAAACTGCCCCTACATAGCTGCAAATTACTGCCACCACTGGCTGTCTGACAAGCTCCTGGATGCTTTCTTTATTTAGGCCCATGCTCATAAAAATTTAACATTATGCATGTGCCCATGAAGCCACGGTCTTTTCGCGTTTTTCTTCACTATTTTTGCCACGAAGACACTTGAAGACTCAATGAACAATATACAGAGGCTATTATGAGCAGCATGTCAATAATTTATTATGGGATTATGCTTTGGTGAAAACATAATGGTCTATAGAATCATTTTTGATGCTGTTTTAAAGTTGGCCACTTGGAGGCACTCGTCGGTGAGGTCGATTTTAATTGAATTGCTCTCACTGATGCGCCAAGTCAGACAGAAACTGGGCACATGCAGGACATCACGTCGCCATCCTTCAGAATAAAGGTAGGCCTATGTTACTTTTTTTTGGGGCGCCAACTGGACAACAAATGTACAGCTGTAAATTTCTTGTGAAAAACAGTCACAACAATATTACTTAGAGATTAACACGAGCAAACTTCACTTTAGCTTAATAAAACACGATTTTCATCAATGTAATCTTCATTAGTTCAATATCCACTTCACACCTTGAGTTAAGATATGTTGTATTTATTTTCCTTTTGATTGTTATATGCCGTTTTGAAAATGCTCTTTACCTCATGAGAGCATGTAAACTAAATGTATTTTCGCTCAACTATTGAAAGTGTGCAAACAACTAGATAGCGCCTCCAGTCTTAACATAGGCCTAGATAGTAGACGACATAAACATTTGCAGAAATAAAAAAAAAACACACAAGTATACCGTTGGGTCCCCTTTCTCTTGAAATGTCAAATAAATGTCCATTTGCACGAGTATTTTAGCCGGTTTGGTCGACGAAGCTTGTTACTACCTACCGATATTATGGTAGCCATACTTTCTGGTTTGACTTTTAATTTACTGAGTGTGAAGGAAGACAGCATAATATAGGCTATTGATAATGTAAAAATTGAAATATTGCATTAGTATTATAACACTTAATTAATTACCAGCCCTATTTAGCCCTACATTGATTGAAGAATTAGAAACATGCCTACTTAACACCTAAATTCTTTAGTAGGCTGTACATAGGATATAGACTACAACATTTAAGGTTTCAGGTTTCAAACTTGCAACAGATACAACGATACTTTTTTTTTTTTTATTCTAAAAGACTAAGACATTAGTAGGAGCTATACGGTAGGCTAAACTTGAATTTAGTGTTTGTGCCGCATTTCCTCGTTTGTTAATTCATTTTTTTCCCGACATCTAATGACTTATTTTTTTATCTTAGTGTTTAGTGTTTTACCTAAATATGTAGGCGAGGCCGTCTTTCCCCTGTTTGTCAATGGAGCCTTTTGTTTTGAAAGCTTTCACCGGAAATCATGTTGGTGGTGCGTCTGCCTTGACATTGGCTTCAGTCACATGGTGCTGCTGTCTAACCGAGAGCTGATGGAGCCAGTTGAGAAAGGCAGGAGGCGAGCCCCTCCGGTTGCGCGTCAGCATCCCCTCAAATAGCAATCCGCTGCTGTCACTTGTGCTCCACATACACAGACGGACGACTACAACCCCGAAATAATAATCAGAGGCGATTTCATCCGGCACGCTGCTCCTTTTTTTTTTTTTTTTTTTTCTTCATGTGATGTCAAAGAAGAAGAGTAAGGTGAGGCTGTGAGGAGGCTGCAGCTTCTGCAAAGAATGATAGTGAGGACCAAGGCGCGCTGTCCCGGGAGAACTCATCTGAAGAGCTGGCCCTGAGGGACCGGGATGCTCCTCTAACGCACCTGGGGGCTTGTGAGTACAATCCATCCGATCTGTGTCTCTCTCGTTCTGCTTTCACTTTGGTGACATCTGCACAGGTTTGGACCGCTCAGCGTGTCCTCCCCTCTCTTTCTTTTTTTTTTTGTTGCCTCTGAATTATTCTCGATCCCACCTGTCTGATCAATCATTCATAGGTTTCCAAGTGAAGTGCAGCATAACCGGTTGGTTAAGCGATGTGTGAAAGTTTCCTTGCTGGTTTGTAAATGGTGCACTTCCCCCCCCCTTTTTTTTACATATCTGTAACTTAATGCATGCACGCATCAAGGTTTAATGCCATGCGGTGTATTGTATGTGGAGGGTGATCGTGTCCCTTTAAAGTTTTGGATTAGGGGGGAACATGTGTTGCATGCTGCGACCGCAGTGTCAGTGCCAGGCTAATTGATAAAGTCTTTGTGAGGGGCTCTCCTATCACAGCCACTCATCATTAATCCACTCATGGCCGGGAGGGCGTGGGTAGCTGTACAGTACGTGATGATAAGAGAAATGCAGCAGTCCTAGTACTTACACAGCAGGGACGATTAATTATGGAGCCAGATTTGATGAACTTAGAGACTGTTGGGTGCAAGAGAGGAGAAACAGACATGTCAAGCGGGAAAAATGGCCTTTAATACCTATATTGTGTTTTATTCTCCCCAGTGATCAGCTGTTTCCCCCACCAAAATGGGTCGCCTGTCAGTTAAGATACATGGTTGGTTAATTTTAAGTCTGTCTACCTTGGAATGGTTGTGATTTCTCACTGTGGAAATCCTTGCCTGTATATCTAAACCAGTGTGTAATGATGCCCTCACCTGTAATAAGCTGCGGTGTGAGATCCTCGCTGTGCTGCTGAATGTGTGGGTGTGAGTAGAACTTCTACAGCAGGCTCGGTGCATGTCGATGAATGAAACCCACTTACTATGCAGCAAGGGTTCCCACCTCCAGTGTGTGTTTGTGCCTGTGTGCCAAAGTGTGTGTGTGTCTATCTCACCTCATTACACTCATTGTGTTGACTTAAGCAGGAGGGTCACCCCTGAGGCCCGTTCCTTTGCCTTATTGAGGAGAGATGCCCTGAATTACATCACACTTGACGTGCAGATGCACATTGGGAGAGGCATATCAGCTCTGTTAATGACTGTTATCTTGACTGAAACAGAATGTATGAATGCGACGTATTTCCTGGCATAGGCAAGTCAGTGCATTGTACACTCGCCAGTATGAAACTGCCCGCCACTCACAATGAGTGCGTTTTGTTGAGAGGTGCTTAACTCCTGGTTCTCCTATGTTTGAAATTTGCGATGAAGCTCCAGCTATGGTTCGAATTCTGGGCAATTATGTTCACAGCCGGCCCACGCACACTTTGTACATGAGCTCCTCTATTCTTAGTTGTTCTACAAACTGACAAAAAAAAAACTGTCTCCCTTACATTGTGTGTACGGCATCCTCCTGAGGCGTTCTCAATATTCTCCCTGTGTATGTATTAAACATCAAGCATGTCGAACTAGAGGCACGGGGCCGAGCACTTTAAGGCACAGTCAGCCTTCTGTGGAGGGTGACAGAACAGTCAGATGGCCCCCACAGGGCACAGAACAATTCCTGCTGCTGATGCACCCAAGGCGACAGGACTGGAGCGCTCCTTCCTCCTCCCTTCCAACTCATCCACCCCTCAATCCCATCATCCCTCCCTACCTTCATGTCATGGAAATAAACAAGCTCTCTCGGGTTCAGTTGCACACCTGCACGGCACATTCTGAGATCTATCTGTAGCCTTTTTTTTTTCCTCCTGTGCATGCATTAGGGCTGTCAAACCATAAACATTTTCTAATCCCGATTGATCGCAAAATTTCAATATTTGATCGTGATAAATCACGTCTTTAATCGCGTGTTTGATATTCCATTACTTCTCATTTAAACATAAACATTGTTAGGCTTTTATTTTGAATTTGTGCACTGTCTTAGGTTAGGGTTAGGGTCATAATAATGTAAAGACTTTCTGGTAGATCAGAAGTTACAACATTAACTTAACCACGGAAAAAAGATACTCGTTGTGGATCAAAAACTAAATGAAAACAGCTCAGAGGAACGATAAAAAGGGAACTCTTTGATATCACAGCGTGGATATTCCTTCTGACTCGTCAACTGAGCTGTTAAAAGTTTTTTTTACAGTGAATGATGAGACATTCAGAGGTGCAGCAGTGTCGTTCTTTTCCATCACTGTGACGACTGGAAGACACTGCAGATGGTTGTCTACGGTGCGCCTAAGGGGACAAAATAGCATGTGCTAAATCGCGATTAAAAACAATTAATGCATTATTATCTGGCCTTAATTAACTGTGATTAATGCTAACAGCTCTAATATAAATACATATATAAAATATATGTGGTCTCTCTAAACACACATGGACATATGCCTGGACTAATACTTATGAGCCGCTGTTTAGGTCACAAACACATAGCACCACAACCTTTTCCTTACACATTAGTAAACCTTCTTAAGTCCTCAATCATGATTTTATTCTCACTAACATAATCTACATCCATTACTCTCCAACACACAGACACTCAGTTGTCACCATACGATAAGTACACATAAGCATCTACGACTATTGTGTTAAAGCCCGTTAAGTTATTTTTTTTATTAAAATCACAATTTCCCATGAAGTGTTTGGTTTCTTAGTAATGATGTTACTGTGGAAAGTAGTATATTGAGAGGTGTTTCTATTATTCTGCCCACTTCATGTTTGTTAACAGAGAGAAAAAGATAAACACTTCAATGTGATGTCCACTACAACACGACCGTTCACTCTTATGTCAGAGGAAACACACACAATCAAATGCACATATTTTAAACACTGTCAACCAAAAATGAACATTGTACACCGTGTCTTTGTCATAGCTGTTGTGTTTGGTTAATGCACAGCTGTATACTTAATAGAGTGGACACTGAGTGATTTTCATTCATACACACTTCTGCAATGTCCTGCACACAGCACTCATTTCTGTTACACGTACATCTTAAGCCGTCGGTGGACATTTCACTTTTAGACACATTTTAAAGGCGTGCCATATCAATGCAAAGATGTGTGGGAGAATGAGAAAGTAAATGGACACACGTTTTGGACTCAGCGATTCCTCTGCAGAAACAAGAGGAAATGTGAGGGTAAACGCAACTCATAGTAAACAATAGAGGGGTTGTTGTTTCTTGTAGGATACATTTTGAGGTCAGTACAATTCAGCGTCGTCACACAAACGTACGTGTTAGCTCACTCAGTGCACACACAGTCCACGCACAGCTGCTGGTTAGCAAATGTACAGACGCTGCACACACGGGCTGTTTTGGGCAAGTAAACAGACAACACAAACATAGTGAGTACATTTGTTGAATGAAGCAATGAGACTGCTTTCAGGTGTAGGTGTGTTGGATTGAGAATAGTAAGGCAAAGCAAGGGGAGTGTATTTATAAAGCACCATTCATACATAGAGCAATTCAGTGCTTTACACAGTAGAAACAGAACATTAGCAACACTAGGAGCTTCAAATAGCATTAGTAGTTTGTGCAAAAACAGAATGATAGTATCTTACACAGTATATGTTTCATGGAGTACTGGTGTTCGTTAAGAGACTTCCATTGAAACATTTTCAGTTGATGTTCTCCCACTGTGCTTAAAACCATGAAGTGCAGAAGAGAAATCATCAGAAAAAAAAAATCAAGTTGCCGGTGACCTTGTTGTTGTTCCAACAAAGCTCTGTGAACTTTGAAGTCGTCCTTAAAATTGTTCTGCAGCTTGATATTAAATTCAACCTTCAATCCTGAACACAGCGAGGAAAGCTGCTCGGGAGGTAGCAGGCTGTTTCAAGAAACTTCCTAAACAGTCATTGTTCTTTCAAACACAATGTTTTTTTTATTTGTCTCATGGAGGTTATCTCTCTTTCTCACATATAATTATAGTCTTTTACACACACACACACACACACACCACCGCTGTCTAAAATACCATTATTCTCTTAGAAACACTGTCATTCTTTCTTATACAAACTACCATCCCATCTCATAAACATTGTATTGAGAGAGAATATGATGTTGTGTTTGGTGAGTGAGAATTACAGTGTTAGAAGAGAGGACACAGCGGCTCACTGTTATTTAGGCTTTTGGAGGTGTCACTCTTTGCCTGTGGCCTTTGCTTGTAGGTAAAAGGTGCAGAAGTGTGACGTGAGCTTGACAGATAACTGAGCAAATGGTGCATGAATCCTGCAAGTTTGTCTGTGCACAAGTGTGTGTGTGTGTGTGTGTGTGTGTGTGTGTGTGTGTGTGTGTGTGTGTGTGTGTGCATGTCAGCTGTGTGCATAATAGCTCAGGGATCCAGGGGCCATGAATTGGCCAGTCAGCCAGACAGATGTGCCCTGGCCTGGACTTGGAGTACAAGGGGTGGGGGGTGGGGGGGGGGGCTCTAACTGGCCTGCCTGCCACCCAGCTTTATTGCCATAGATCCATGATCCTGAAGAGCACAGGGCACCGAAACTCACTGTCTGCATAAAATGCTCTTAACTATTAATGCTGTGTATAGGGCAGCGCATGGGCGAACAGGGAGGGAACAAGGAAATGCGTACTGAAGAAGGAAAGAAAGAAGTGGGAATGAGTCAACAAGGAGTGATACGAAGAAGTAGATGACTGATGTAAAGAGTATTTTTTGAATAGATTTCTTTTTACTTCAGGGTCACCCAATAGAGGATTGATGTTTAACATAATACCTTTTTCGTCTTTTTTTTTTTTTTTAAAGATCACTATGGTAACCAGAAGTCAACAAAGTGACAATACAGCCCCTTGTTGATGATCCAGTTACTCTTCTCTTAGAGACACCAAAAGACCTTCACCCTCTTTTCTCAGAATTCACCCGCGTTATCGTGTCAAAAGTCCGGATTTTTTTTAATTCGTACATTTAACATAGAATTGTACAGAACCCTACAAATTATGAATTGCTAGATTCTTGGGTAGTTTG